ACCCACCCACCTACCTCTATATACAGCACCCACCCACCTACCTCTATATACAGCACCCACCCAACTACCTCTATATACAGCACCTACCAACCCAACTACCTCTATAAACAGCACCCACCCACCTCTATATACAGCACCTACTCACCCAACTACCTCTTTATACAGCACCCACCTACCTCTATATACTGCACCCACCCACCTACCTCTATATACAGCACCTACCTCTATATACTGCACCCACCTACATCTATATACAGCACCCACCTACATCTATATACAGCACCCACCCACCTCTCTATACAGCAAATACCTACCTGCACACCCACCTACTTCTATATACAGCACTTACCTACCTCTACCTGCATACCCACCTACCTCTTCCTACAGCACATACCTACCTGAATACCCACCTATCTCCATCCACCCACAGCATACATTAGTATACACGGTGCAGGATGTGAGTGTATTCAGTGCGGGATGTGCTGCACACTGTGAGTATACTCAATGTACTGGGTGCAGATCGTGGTCCCTGGTCTCTCCCGGTCACATTAGAGAGAGTCCACAGCACATATCTACCCTGCATACCCACCCACCTTCAGACACCGCACATACCTCCATACCCACCTACTTCCACCCACAGCACATACCTATTCTGCATACCTACCTTTAGCCCCAACACATACCTACCTGCATACCCAGTTTACCTACCTCTACCCACCTACACTACATACCCACTTACCTCCACCTAGAGCGCAGACCCTCCCTGCATGTATACCTTACCTACCTCCATTCACCTACACTACATACCCACATTATCTTCCTCCATCCACCTACACTACATGCCCACACAATGGGGTACACACGACCCATGGGGCCCCGGTGCGAAAATTGATCCAGCGCGGGCTGGGGCCGCAACACATGGCGGCAGGCACCTGGTCGCAGGGGTGGCAGGGCTGCGACCGCGGTATGTACACCAGTGAATGTAGATACACACACACACACACACACACACACTTAAAGGACCACTACAGACACTCAGATCACATCAGCTCAATGAAGTGGTCTGGGTGCCATGAGGGTTAATCCAGCCTCTAGTGGCTGTCTCACTGACAGCCGCTAGAGGCGCTTCCGCGATTCACACTGAAAATCACAGTGAGAAGACGCTGGAGGTCCATAGGAAAGCATTGAGTAATGCTTTCCTACTGGCGGTTTGAATGCACGTGTGGCTCTTGCCGCGCATGCGCATTCGGAACTGAGAGGCGGATCGGGGCGGAGGGATCCCCAGCGCCAAGGGAGTCCGGCACTGGAGAAAGTTAAGTGCTGAAGGGGTTTTAAACACACTCACACCCTCACGAACAGACACACTCAGCGACATACATACACACTCACTAACAGACACACACAAACTAACACACTCAGTAACACACACACACACAAAAACTAACACACTCACTGACACTCACTAGCAGTCACACACACAGTAACACACACTCTAGCACTAACACACATACACATTTTTTTTTTAAATGTGATCCCCCAGCCTCCCTACCTTCAGGAGAGAGTGCTCCCTCGCGCACCCGCAGGATCGGCCGCCTGGTGACACCAGGGCCAGCCTCGGGGGGCCTTGAGGTGACTGGCTCCTGGGCCCCCCAGGAGAAGAGACTGGCTACACTGGCGTACATACCGGGGTCACAGGGTGGCTGGGCTCAGTCTCAGCCACAACCCCTGCGACCCCGGTATGTACGCCACTGTACCCACATTATCTACCTCCATTCACTTACACCACATACCCACATTATCTTCCTACACTACATACCCACATTATCTACCTCCATCCGCCTACACTACATGCCCACATTATCTACCTCCATCTGCCTACACTACATGCCTACATTATCTACCTCTACATGCCTACATTATCTACCTCCATCCATCCACTTACACTAAATATCCATATTATCTACCTCCCTCCACCTACATTACATATCCACATTATCTACCTCCATCCATCCGCCTACACTACATATCCATATTATCTACCTCCATCCGCCTACACTACATGCCCACATTATCTACCTCCATCCTCCTACACCACATGCCCACATTATCTACCTCCATCCGCCTACTCTACATGCCCACGTTATCTACCTCCATCCGCTTACACTACATGCCCACGTTATCTACCTCCATCCTCCTACACTACATACCCACGTTATCTACCTCCATCCGCCTACACTACATGCCCACGTTATCTACCTCCATCCTCCTACACCACATGCCCACATTATCTACCTCCATCCGCCTACACTACATGCCCACATTATCTACCTCCATCCACCTACACTACATGCCCACATTATCTACCTCCATCTGCCTACACTACATGCCTACTTATCTACCTCCATCCGCCTACACTACATGCCCACATTATCTACCTCCATCTGCCTACACTACATACCCACGTTATCTACCTCCATCCACCTACACTACATGCCCACATTATCTACCTCTATCTGCCTACACTACATGCCTACATTATCTATCTCTATCCATCCACTTACACTAAATATCCATATTATCTACCTCCATCCACCTACACTACATGCCCACATTATCTACCTCCATCCGCCTACACTACATGCCCACATTACCTATCTCTATCCATCCACTTACACTAAATATCCATATTATCTACCTCCCTCCACCTACCCTACATATCCACATTATCTACCTCCATCCGCCTACACTACGTGCAGGGCCGTCTTTAATCCGGGGCAAACTGGGCAGTTGCCCCGGGCCCAGGTACTCCTGGAGGGCCCAAGGCAGTTGCCCCCTTGGCCCCGCTGCCCTTAACTATTCCCCCCCCTTGGGCACACGGCACCCGAAGGAGGCCCACCGGGTGGGCTATTAACTAAGGGACACCCGGTGGGCATTTGTAAGCAGGGGCCCGGTCACACGCTCTGGCCCTTTAACAGCGCAACCGGGCCTCTTGCTTTCCTGTAGCCGGTTGGGCGGCGCGCGGCTCTCTGTTCTCTATGGGAAGAAGTGACTTGCGGTTGTCACTTCCTCCCACAGAGAGCCGAGTGGGAGATAGCAAGGAGGCTGAGCTAGGCAAGGTTGGAAACATGTACAATAGTGTACATTTTGTGTGTGTGTGTGTGTGTGTGTGTGCGCATGTCTCAAAAACATAGCCTGTGGCTGCTCACTTAAAAAAAAAAAAAAAGCAGTGGGTGGGGGCCCTAAATTAGAATAAGGGGGACACCTAATGTCCTCCCCCCGCCACTCAAGGGACACACCTAATGTCCTCCCCCCTGGCCCCCACCCCTGAGCGGTGGGTGGGGGCCCTAAATTAGAAAAGGGGGGTGGACAGCCCCAAAAAAGGCCAAGTAAAAAATCCATAATAACCGACGCACTTAAAAAAAATAAAAAAAAATAACGAGCACCAAAATAAATAATCCTTCTTCACCCATGGAGGGCTCCGTGCAGACTGAGCTCTGCAGGGCGGGGGAAGGCTTATAAAGCCTTGCCCTGCTCTGCAATTAGGCTCAGAGCACTCTGGTGGGTTTAAGCCATCCAATCAGAGTGCTCTGACAGGTAAATGAAGAGACTGACAGGTAAGTCTCTGCATTTACCTGTCACAGCACTCTGATTGGTTGGCTTGAAATCCACCAATCAGAGTGCTCTGTGTCATTTTACACATCGTGGGAAAGTTCTTTGGAATTTTCCCACGCTGTGTAATTTGACTCCTAACACTCTGATTGGTGAATTAAGTAACCAATCAGAGAGTTATGAGTCAAATTACACAGCGTGGGAAAATTCACGCCACAGTCTGCTCACTGTTAAATAGACATGCCCATACTCGCGGTATAGCGAGTAGGGGCAAAATTTACTAATACTAAGTAATCTTTACTTAGTATTAGTAAATTTGGCTGAACAACCAATTTAGGTCTTTCAGCCTTTTGGGAATTAGGGAGTTATCTACTAAGCGGCTGCAAGAGAAGTGCCGAACTGAATTGCCGAAGTCCTGAATTTCGGAATGCCGAACCAACCGAAAATTTTCCCCATGCACATGCCTAAAAGACAGGAGGCTTCATATTTGCTTATTTTCTTTAATGAAACCTCCAGCAGCAAAGAAACAGTTAACAATAGATAAATAAAAATCAACTAATCAGAGAGCATGACAATAGTATGTATTGTAA